TGCGCGTGAGCGAGAGTATAGGCCTAAATGCACGAGCCTCACTCTAAAGGGCGAGTGTTTATATCTTCAGACCTCTCTACACTGTGAACAGACATAGCTAAGTATTATTTCAAAATACCAATAATACAGGTCTAAAATGTATGGTTTTGGTCCCTAAAATGTTTTTCAATATGTTTATTTTCTTACTGGAAAAAAATATTTTACTCTTTAATTTAGAAACACTGGCTGACGTACCCGTTCAGCGCACAGCGAAGACATAGCCCTCCCCCCCCTCTCCCGAAAGTGACAAGTAAGTCAGATCAGAACGCCTACTCCCCCAGCGGTTTGTCAACGATAACTTCTCAGATTTCTACAGTTGTTTTACCTTCTGCTCAGGGATAACTTCTCAGATTTCAGTAGTTGTTTTACCTTCTGCTCAGCGATAACTTCTCAGATTTCTACAGTCGTTTTACCTACTGCTCAGCGATAACTTCTCAGATTTCTACAGTCGTTTTACCTTCTGCTCAGCGATAACTTCTCAGATTTCAACAGTTGTTTTACCTTCTGCTCAGGAATAACTTCTCAGATTTCAACAGTTGTTTTACCTTCTACTCAGCGATAACTTCTCAGATTTCTACAGTCGTTTTACCTACTGCTCAGCGATAACTTATCAGATTTCTACAGTTGTTTTACCTTCTGCTCAGCGATAACTTCTCAGATTTCAACAGTTGTTTTACCTTCTGCTCAGCGATAACTTCTCAGATTTCAACAGTTGTTTTTACCTTCTACTCAGCGATAACTTCTCAGATTTCAACAGTTGTTTTACCTTCTGCTCAGGGATAACTTCTCAGATTTCAACAGTTGTTTTACCTTCTGCTCAGGGATAACTTCTCAGATTTCTGTTAACAAAATGTTTATAGAAAATACTTTATGTTTCCTACACAGTTTGTTTCTTGAAAATTACCACTTCAGTGTTTTGTTAGATTGCTGTTTTACTTACCGAAGACACTCCACTTGGAGTTACTTGTATTAGACAAAAGGTCTCCGAAACAACAACAAAATGGAGAGTGAGAATTTTCGAGACTCAAATTATTCTTCAACGCCATGAAATCACTTTGAGAGAATAATGGCGGGAGAACTTTTCTCTTTAATCGATGTCAGTATTTCTTAAGGCCAATTTCGTTTATTTTTTGTGCTTATAGGAGTTTAATAAGCGTGTAAGACGCATGATAAACTAGCGAGATACGTTAATTAAAATGTTATTACTTATATGAATTCAGTAAGATTTATTTTTTATACGTTTCTTCATTCAAAATCATCAACTTTTATTATGAATGGCGGTAACGATATAAAAAAAAAACTTATTTACTTGTTTCTTTGCTGAATTCAGCTACGCACTTGGGCAATTTATCTTACCCTGCTTTATCCCTGGCTTTCCTGTGTGTGTCTCTTTAATAATAGTGGAACCTTTCAGCTGTAGCTTAAATCTAGTGCGAGTGGTTTCTGGAAAATTCGTTTTTTTTCCTTTTTGTGTTTAGAAGAAAGAAAAAATTCACAATTTATAAATACGTAAAAATATAGACAGATAGTTTAAGAGGGCATAAGGAATTTTTAATTATCTATATTAAAGTTACCATCAAGTTTGTTTGTTTTTTCTTAGAAATTACAGTTTTTCGTACTTCAAAAAAGGGTTTTATTTATAGCTTTATGTAACAAAATCACTTATTGAAACGCTGTTTCAAGTATGACCCGTTTTGAGCTTTAATTAATAAGGTAGACTATTCGGCATAAAATATGAATAGTGAAGAAGTCTTACGAACGAATACGATGCAATAAAGTTGAGACCCCCCCAGTGGCACAGCGATATGTCTGCGGACTTACAACGCTAGAATCCGGGTTTCGATACCCGTAGTGGGCAGAGGACAGATAGCCCAATGTGTAGCTTTGTGCTTAATTACAAACAGAACAAAAACAAAATTAGAACTTGGAACTGTACCTCAAAAGACCCTGACACTCTAGTTTAGGAGTGTCTGTCTTCTTAAGACAAAGTCATGACAAACCAAGTTTAGAGCTTCCAACTGCTCCTCGAAAGACCCTGACACTCTAGCTTAAGGGTGTCTGCAGTGACAACGTGAGTAGTCAACTCTCAGGATGTTTACGTCTACCTTAACAATGTCCAACAGAAATTTACAACATAGCTGTATGAGGGGTCCTTCGATGGAGTTCTAGGAATGGTTCTCCCCAATTCTCCAACTAACTTGTTTCCCATTTAATCCTGTTAGTGAAATAATTTCCTAAGTTAAATTATAAATATGTTCTTTAGAGATAAAAGGCTAGTCAGACCGTTCCAAAAATAATAGGGATAAAAGGCTAGTCAGACCGTTCCTTTCTAAAATAAGTAATGACGATACTGATATCGTGGGAGGGAGAATTATTGTTCATCAAAATAAAATCAGACGGACGTAAACACTTCCAAACTTTCGATAGCCGTATATAATTAATGTAGATGCATAAGTAAAGTTATGTTTTTGGGTGTAGACACCCTTGATCAGATATATTACAGGGAGTAGATACCACTGATAAAATTATGTTACTCGGCGTAGACAACCTTGATAAAGATATGTCACTGTGTGTAGACACCCTTGATATGTTATATTACTGGGTGTAGTTACCCTTGATTAGATATATTACTGGGTGTAGATACACTTGATACACTTATATTACTGGGTGTAAACACACTTTATACACTTATATTACTGGGTATAGACACTTTATACATTTATATTACTGGGTGTAGACATCCTTGATACAGTTATATTACTGGGTGTAAGACACCCTTGATCAGTTATATAACTAGATGTAGACACCCTTGATACACTTATATAACTGGATGTAGACACCCTCGATACAGTTACATTACTGGGTGTAGACACCCTTGATTAGGATATTTTACTTGTAGCAGACAACTTTGATAAACTTGTTACCAGGTGTGGACAAACACTTTACAAAATTATGTTACTAGGCGTGCATATCCTTGACAATCTTATGTCGCTGGTAGTAAACATCTGTATTAAACTCTTATGTTACTGGTTGTAAACGGTTTTTGTAAACCCTTATATTATTTGTTATAGACGGTTTTAGTAAACTCGTATGTTACTGGTTGTAAACGGATTTAGTAAACACTTATGTTACTGGTTGTAAACGGTTTTTGTAAACCCTTATATTATTTGTTATAGACGGTTTTAGTAAACTCGTATGTTAGTGGTTGTAAACGGATTTAGTAAACACTTATGTTACTGGTTGTAAACGGTTTTTGTAAACCCTTATGTTACTCGTTATAGACGGTTTTAGTAAAGTCTTATGTTATTGTTTGTAGACAGTTTAGGGAAATCTTACGTCACTGGTGGTAGACGTTCATGAGACTGTTGAGATGCTAATGAAGACGTCCCTGGTGAACTTATGCTTCTTGGTTTGGATTTGCCTTTGATAAATTAATGTTACTGGGCGTTGAAAAATAATTCTTGCTAATTCTATTTTTGTTTTGTTTCTTTTCAGCTCCCCAGTATTTTGCTTTTAAAGATGTAGACAAGCACTCTGTCACTTTGACCTGGAAAAATCCAGCTCCACCTAGTGATAAAGACATACTACTTTTGGCATATTCACTATCTTACACCTCGGTTAATGGGAAAAGTCACGGTAAGATCTTATATTATTATAATGGTAAAATATTTAAGTTAGGGGTAGTGACACTCACTAAGCCTTTAAATTGCAATAACATACATAAATATATGTTATCTTGGCTGTTGTTGTTTTTCTCACCACAGTGGATTTATATTTATCTAAGCCTTGAAAAAATATGCATCTTTGATGTTACTACTTTTTTTTAATATAATGTATAAATAGAAATACGGGAGAGAATCATCCAAGACTTTTCCAATATTTTTTATAAGGCCACTTTATTTCTGTTCACTGCACTACACACAAAAAAAAGATGTGTATAGTTTTTAGACGTCACTGATGGAGTATTTATATAAATATTAAAATAATAATTAATTTAAGTGACTGTTTTGTATGTTAACTTAATATCATGATAATCATACAGGATCTTCAGTAGCCAATTCTCCAAGAACTCTTAATTACTGTACATGTCAAGAGTTTAATTTTTTGTTAACAGAATCAGTGATTGCACTGTAACTTAGTTAGCCATTTATATTTTATTCAGGATTACAGTCAGGTCACTTTGAATGTAGTAGTAAAAAGTAACTTTCTGATAAGTGTTTAAATATATTTTTACTAGGACACTTTAAGAGAAGGCGTGAGGATTATTTGAAATTTGTGATCGGTCTGTTATCTGTTCAAAGATAATAAGAGATAGAAAACAGAAAAAAAAACATATAAAATTAAATCCCCCCCCCCCAAAAAAAGAGGAAATTGGAGATTAAATTAGATTATTATCAAGATTCTTTACGTTTTTATCAAATTTTGTTCATCTCGACCAAACTGAATTCATTTCAAGAAAGGTGAATTAGGTATAACTACATAAACCTGGAAGATATGATGTATTATTCAAAAAGTCATAGTAGATTCAACGTCCCTGTTGCCACTGGCATTGGGGAAAAAAGTATATTAAAAACTTTTTTATTTGGAATAGCTATTATTAAATTGATAAAATTGATTGTATAAAAATACCTGCTGGTGGAGTAAATAATTATTCGATAAAGGAACATTTTAAAGCAGAACCCAGTATCAAACTGGTAGTATTATTGTGTACCGTGGTATTTGATGTTTCTACGATCTATTTTTAAAGCTCTTTATACGAGAACGATATTATCATTCAAAACAGCTCTGTAGACGGTTAGAGTTACTGAATACTTTAGCCTTATTTTACGATTATTATTAACAGCGAGGTTTCTTTGGTTGGATTCACATAATAGAACCATAATAAAAATGGATACACGTGCGCTGGAAGAGTGACTGGTAAAAACTTTTTATTGTCAATTTAAAAATCCAATACAAATATGGAGACTTGGAAATTTCAAAAGTTAAGACTATTGAGGTAAATGAAGTTAGTAAAAATATTTTAATTTATCAAGTAGTATATATAACAAGACAGTTGTTCCAGAAAATGTGTTTCGAAAAATTGAGCACTTTAATGTTAAATATATCTGCAAAAGGAAACGATACAATGGAAAGTAAGATTCATGCGCAAGCCTATGGAAAGATTTGTTTGTTTGTAGTTAAGCTACATAACGGGCTATCTGTGCTGTGCCCACCACGAATATCAAAAACTGGTTTTTAACGTTGTAAGAATTACCACCGAGTCACTAGGGGGCGTTATTTTTGTTTGTTTGTTTGTGATTAAGCACAAAGCTACACAATGGCCTATCTGTGATCTGCCTACCACGGGTATCGAATTCCGGATTCCAGCGTGGTAAGTCCGCAGACATACCGCTGTGCCACTGGGGGGGGGGGGGTTATGAAAAAAGAACATTAAAAATTACGGGCTAAATGGAAATGAGGCAGCTCAAAGGTTTGTGTGGCTTAAATGCTTACTTCAAACAAAGTAAAATGCTTGTGAAATAAATACCTTTTTTGTTTAATACATTTGATTATTTGTGAATATGAAATAGAGATCAGTATATAGATTTATTTAAATTTTGTCAACTGTCATATAATTAAAGTTTTTGTATAATGTAGAGTGAAAGATGGCCGTCATATTCGAGAATAAATTAAAATGTCAATTACATACATTACTGTGCTGTGAAACATTCAGTCACGAGAGGTCAATATGTTACTTGTTTGTGTGTGTTTGCCACTAACTAACCAACTGATTTTTTTTCTTATGCACACACACAGAGGGGCGAGTACGTAATAGTTAAACAATTTTGAATATGCAAATCAGTAAGTCACGCGACAACTGCAGCCCATATAAAGTCACGGTTGAAGGGCATGCCTTAGTAATATATTTTGACATTGTGTGATGTATCGTAGGTAGTATAATATCTTTGAAAATCGATTTTTTTTTTGGAAAGCTATGTAACAGCCCTTTCTAACAAAAAACGTTCGTATACTCATATCTAAGATATGTGCTCAGATTTGGAATATCCCATGTACTTAATGGCATTGGAAAACAAAGGAATGTGCATTAATGTGGGGCACCAGAACCATTTAGAAAGATACTTGCAATAAGTCGTACCACAGGCGTGGTAAGCAAAATGCAGCGTTTTGTAAGAATCCATAAACATAAAGGTCAATGACAAAAGCCTTCCACGTGCCCCAGGTAACAGTATGCAACATAATAAAGAAGGACCTCCCTCTGGAAAAGCGAAACAAATCACATGTACAGAAGTTGTTGCTACAATATATACGTTCAACTGTCGCATACCTCAAGCAGCTGAAGAATGAAATGAGTATCCATGTTATTTTATATGAAGATATGCCGATATGATCAATTCGCTGGACGTAGCTCCCATAGATTCCTGTGCAACGGGTGCAAGAAACCTTTGTGTTAATACACTAGATGGATTATGGAAAGCACGCATAGAGGAGGGGTGTGGTTTGAAAATAACATTCTCTTACGACTGAGCCCTTTTCCAATGAAAACTACTCTACAAAGTTATTTTTAAAATGCAGTCTTCAGATGAGAGCTTGACGGGATGTGGCGACATAGACTGTAACGACATGTTGAGGCTCCAAAATTGTTGTAATATAACGAATTCAGCCTATATATATATAATCGAAAAACATAAAATGGGATGTTAAGTTTAGTAGACAGTGTATCCCCATCGCTATGTGGGTTCTACTTCTTCTGATGCCTCCAAAACCAGGATAACTTATATATTCTTTCCACAATATAACTAGTGTCCTGGTGTTATTTATCCTTTTGTTAGGATTTATTTTTATTTTTTTGTGTGTGTATGTGGAAAGGCTTTGTTCTTTAAATTTGTATTAATAATAAACACACACATACACAGATATCTAATCTGTGTGTTTTCACACAGATCATATTAAGTTTATCCGCCTCATTTGACGGCCTTACGTGTGCGTGTGATAGTGGAATTTATATTAATGAATTAATTATACTGTGTAATATAATTACCACATCGTTAATCTAGTCTCTTCATATACACAGCCGGCCTCGTGATTAGGGACTCGATTCTCAACCTGCGGGTTCGAATCCTTGTCACCGAACATGCTCACCCTTTCAGCCGTGGGGGGGTGTGTTATAATGTGACGGTCAGTCCCACTATTCGTTGGTAAAAGAGTAGCCCAAAAGTTGGCGATGGGTGGTATTGACTAGCTGTCTTCCCTTTAGTTCGTCACTGCATACACAGACGGATTGTATGACGTCATTATTTTATGAAAGAGAGATTATTCAGAAGAGAAAAAAAAAATAGAGTCGTATTAGCGTAATCTCGAGCAATTTCAATTTTAGCAATAATAATAATAACAAACAAGAAATAAGTATTAAATATTTTTGAAAGTAAATTACTTTTTTGTACAAAATAAAAGTGGTTTGCATCGAATATATTATCTTTCTTCACGCGGCCCCCCAGTAGCACAGCGGTATGTCTGCGGACTTACAACGCTAGAATTCGGGTTTCGATACCCGTAGTGCGCAGAGCACAGATAGCCCATTGTGTAGCTTTGTGCTTAATTACAAAAAGAACAAAAACAAAATTCTTCACGCGACTTCTAAACACCCCCCAGTGGCACAGCGGTATGTCTGCGGACTTACAACGCTAGAAACCGGGTTTCGATACCCGTGGTGGACAGAGCACAGATAGTCCATTGTGTAGCTTTGTGTTTAACTTCAAATAAACAAACCAACAAATAAACAATCCAAAGTGCGGAGCGGTTTTTTGTGAATCATGCATAGTTAGGTTCATAGTCCGGGCATGCTAAACACTAGGCCACACACGACCCAGAACAGATAAAAAGAAAAAAAAAGCGTTTAAAAATACTGCTCTAAAAGCATTAACTAAAACGATAAGGAAATTAGCATTAAAGTTGGTCTACGAAGTATCTGACATGTTATCGTGGCTAACAGTCAGCTCTGTTACTGCTTCTTGTAGAAAAACTGGCACATTAGACTGTTAGCCACATAACATTATGTTTAAGTAGATGTTGTTTCAGCTCTGTTACTGCTTCTTGCTCATTTCTTCTATATTTTAATCCTATTTATTTATTTACACCTCCCTACCCCAGTGGATAACTGGCAAGCTCGAAGTCTTATAACTCTAAAGTTCGAGGTTTAATCCCTGTTGTGCGAACATTGTGATAGCCCATTTTGCAGCTTTGCGTTTAAGATACAGACAGCTTATGTTTCACGACTATGTCTTGGTAGAATGTTGTTGTTTTTCTCTTGGATAACTAGACATGTTTACACAAGTAATACAATATTTATGTCATACTTGTATAATAGAACAAAATATTTCTATCTTGTCTATTTCATATAATCTTTTTCCTTTGATATCTCAATGTATTTGTTTTGTTCGGTTTTCTGTTGTAATGAAAGTGGTAAATAGGCATGCAACGTGTTTTGAGTTCCAGCTTTGAATGAAAGGTGGACCGCTGTTGTTATTCGTATTCAAAGATGCATTACCATTTTTGTGCACGTGAGCGCAGCAGTGTTTAGTTTGCAAAAGGAATAATTATTTACCATTTTTGTTTTCTGCTGAAACGTGTGTACCGTC